TTTCGGTGGTCCCCCTATTTGTCCCAAACTTGTAATTATTACAAGTTGTTATAAGTCTTTTAATATGGGATTTTTGAATAATAAGAAGAAATAAAATTAGCGTGATGTTTATGATTTAATATTTGCATTGATTTTCAAATGTAACCATAGCTTTTTTTTTTCCTTCTAATCAGTGATTACTTGTGTGTGTGTTTTTTTTAAGGTAGTTGCGTTTTTTAGTTTGAGTCCCATTTGGAATGATGTGCTCTGTTTTGATTGGTAATACTGCATAACTGTGGGATCAGAGGAAATAAAATTATTTTTATAAATTTAAATTTTTCAAAATTACAAAATAACAAAATAAAATTATTGTGCGAGTGTATAAAATTCACTAAATTATTAAATCAAAATATTCAAAATAAATGTTTGCTATGTCTTAGATATGATTTGATGAGTATATATCATAAGAGACTAATAAAAATATGAATTAAAAAGAGATCAAGATTGTATTAAAAATTACTAGGCAGAAAGTTGAAACATAAGTGAAATTGGTTAAATTAATTCATGGTGGAGGTTAAGATTGAGGGAAGAGAAGTTAACTTTGTGGTATAGGAAAGAAGATTTATTAACACTCAAATATTTTCATAAATACTGTAAGTTTGTAGAATGTCATTTATTTGTGTAACGAAGGTTTACTTGTAGTTCTTTCAAGCTAGAACGTAAACTTGCATTTATTCTGTAATGTGCCTTTAAATTTTAGTCACGAGATTAGGATATTACAGGCCCAAATTTTCTAGAGACGATTCGTCTATTCATAAAAAGCTTTTGGTTAACCACAACTTTACAATTTCCCATATTGTTTGCATTTGTCATTTTGTTGAATATTCTCTTCACAATGCATACAATATTTAAAAAGAAAGATTCCATTTAAAAATCAACTCTTAGTTACATTTCATACATCAAACTAAATAAAAGAAACAAAAAGAGCCTAAAGAACAACCAACCAAAGCTAAAGTGGATGTCTGCCTCAAAGAACTTGCATTCACACGTGGCAAAATCTCATTCGTTCATTTTAAAAACAAACCTCACTTTAATTCTTCTTCTAAATCACTGCCATTTATAGTAACGCAATGACGGAGAAACCAAGTTTGAGTGCTATTGAAACAAACAAACTCCAAGAAGCTTCTTTATTCCCTGAAGGAAATATATTTCCGGTCGGACCAAATGCAGGAGGTCCCGGAAACGTCTGTGTTCCCGGAGGAGCTCCGGTCGTCGGGGTTGTCCCTGCAGTTCTGCAAGACAAAATAGGTTAAAAAGACTAAACTTTTAAGTCACGTAATGAGAGCCAAGTTCAACCAAACATTGTCCTCGTACCAAATCTTGAAAATGAAGAAAAGAAAAGAAAGCTATGATGTTTTATTGTCATATTAAAGAATCAAAATGAAATAAAAATCTATTTCCCTTTTTAAGAGCTTTTTAGGTAAAAATCTTAAGGAGTTTAATAGTAAACATACCCAGGGCTTGAAGGATAGATGCAACCAGTAACCACAGCTACAAACAAAACAAAAACAGAGGAAATCATCAAAATTATTGCAATTTTTACTCCATCAACCCAACAAAATTAGATTATAAAGATTTGGTGTTTTTTTGTAAAGATGAGTTTAGTTACTTGAAGGAGGATTTGGGCTTGTAGTAGCAGTTCCCGAGAAATTACAGCTTCCAGGGAGTTGACCAGATCTTTGGAAATAGCTATTGACTGCCCAATCACAATGGCTTTTGATATTGTTTGGTTGGTAACAAGGACCTTTATCATGGATTGGATTACAATCTGCTAAAGCTCCACATGCATAATCTATTGATGTTTGTAGCTCTTTCTCTCCTACTCCATCTCTGCATAGACAATAAGTTGCACCTGGAAAACAGAGAAAAAAGTTGGTTTTTAAGACTAAAATCTCAAGAACAGTGGATAAATTTTGATTAGAAAGGCTTCTTTAATTTTGAGAAACTAACCCATTTTAGAACTTTGTGATTGGTGTTAGTGAAGAATTTGAGAGAAAGTGGCAAGGATAAAAAGAAAGCTTACTTGAATAGTTGGGTACGGCCAAGAGGAGAAACAAGAGACCAAGAAGCATTCTCATGATGATTTTATTTTAAAGAAGGGACCAAAGCAAGTTTCGTTTTTAACCAACACAATCCAAGATGATAGATTCAA